TTCTTATTTATTTACGTGGTTCTGGGGAATAGAACCCAGGGTCTCAAAATATGCCAGGCATACATAAGCTACATATCTCCAGCCCTTTTCAACATTTCTTAGCATTTCCTTCTGTTTATAATCAACCATCCAGGAAAACAAAAGTTAGGTCATAAAAAAAGAAAAAAAAGTGTAGGATCAAAGACATCATGTGCTCATAGCAAACAAAAAGCAAAGAGGGAAGGAGCTATAACAGATATGAGACAAAATGGACTGATAACCAGCACAATGGATTAGAGTTTAGTTTCAAGACAGAACACATTCTTAATTTGTTTCTTTGGAAGGTAGAATTTTAGTGTTTACTGAACACTATTCACACTATTTACTGAACACTATTCACACTATTCCTGTCTATTTCACAGGAAATTTACAACTTGGGCCTGGGAATGATTATAGTTCAGGTAGGCCTGCCTGGTATACAAAGAGCAGCCCTGGTTTCTATTCCCGAAACTTAAAAGGAAAACAACAACTAACACAAAATTAGTTATTAGTTTATTTCCATACAATATATTTAGCTACCTAGTACAGTTCTAGTTAGAATGTTCAAAAATATCAGCACTAATACTAAATTGTCTTTTAAACTACAAGTGAAGTAGAATGTGACCTAGTAATTTCATTTTCTGGTACTTATTCACACAAAACTGCAAAATACATCCAAACAACACCTCAAGTCACGACTTCTCAAATGTACTTTCAAGCGGCTTGGTACTGTCAACATGGTCAAAACCTAGCATGGGAAGTTACTGGCTCAAGGGGAGAACCTAGATGGGTTTTGCTAATGCTTCTTTCTTTCAACCTTGGTTAAGAAAAGTTTTTATGATGCAGACTTATTACTGGCCACCAAATAGCTGAGAATAAAGCAACTATGAGTGCTCAGCCAGAGATGGAACATCTCTATCAAAGCTCTTCCTACAATGATTAGAGAAAATTATGCAAGAGGGGGCAGAAACAATGGAAAAGCCAGAAGATGGGAGGAGCACTTCAAAATTCTTAGATACGCCATGGCTGTTGCACACAGTCAACTCATAGGAGCTCTGGTCACCTGCACAAGTTCAAGCCAGTTACAAAGGACCTACATCAGCACCACCATGGCAAGGACTCACAATCATCTGTAACTCCAGATCCAAAGAATCAAACACCCTGGTGTAGTGCAATAATGGCTGAAAAACTCCCAAAGCCCCATCTTTAACTGAGATCTATAGGTAGGTGACAGCTACTGTGGGGAGGGAGAGTGACTTCTGAGAGGTGGCCACTCATGCTCCTCTGGATGACCCTACAGCCATTTGGATAGAGGCAGCACTAACAAGACCCAGTAGATTACATAAAAAAGATTATACACAAAATTACTCATCAATAATGTAGTGTGACAACATAACATTCTTGTAAGTGCAACACACACACACATACACGACCACATACTGTATGGTACCATTCATGTAATGACCAAAAACCTGAACTTGAGCTGGTAATGAGATTTCTGAGAAGATGAAAATGTTCCATAATTATATCTGGGTGATGACTAGATACCTTGGTAATTACACCAACAACAATACTGGGAAAGCTAGGAAGCAGACTGAGACTGGGAGATTTGCACAAAAGGTCCCAATTTAGGCAGGAAAGAGCCATTTATATTTTGTATTTCCTGTTCTAGAAGAGGTCTTGTAAATGTTCCTCCACCCTAGCATCCTAGAGATACAACTACAAATTAATTCCTCCAGAGCAGATTAACCAATGCTTCATAAACAGCCAAATCCAAAATAAAGTCTATTACTGATGCACTGAATTTTTCCGTTCTTAAATTTTCAAACCTACAGATTCTAACAAAGATAAAAAAAACAAACAAACAAACAAAAAAAAAACAACAAAAAAACACCTTTATACCAAAATTTTGGGGATATTTCAGAAAATAGGGTCAAACATTTCCAGGGAAAATAGGTGGAGATAAAGAATCAAAGTGAAATCAAATGAAGCTAGACTGTCTGGGAAATTCCATGAACTTCAGGATTTTCTTTTTTTCTTCTTCAAAGTCAAGACTTTCTAGAAAAGTCACCTTAAATTATCCCTTAAATTATCACTGGCAAAGAATTCAGTCATCATAGTAACGGCAACTAATGCAGAACCAGGCAATACTGAGAACTGTCACTTTTGGGAGGGTGGGGGAAAGAACAAGGTCTTACTCTGTGGCCATGGCTAGCCTGCAACTCAGAGATCTGTCTGCCTCTGCCTCCTGAGTGCTAGGATTATAGACACCACATCCAGCCAGAATCAACACCTCTTTGTATGATTTCCCTAAAGATCAATCTGGGACAGAGATGAAAGTTATTTCTCAAATATTATCAATTCTAAAATGGAACACCAGTAGCCATTTAAAGAGGAAAAAGAATGCTGTGTGAAGGGATATAATCCAATAAACACTTAGTACTGATAAGAATTCAACATAGCTGGCCAAGTTATAGAAAAGTTTGATTTTAGTTTAATGATCATCACCCATTAACTCTGACAGGTTTCAAAAAAAAAAAAATTCCACAGTAATTAAATAACAATTACAATTAATGTATCTAAGCACAGTGGTTAGCAACATTCACAAATACATAAATTACAATAATGTAGAACAATGACTGACTGTTAAAGGCAATCTGGGTTCTACTTGTAAATCTGAGTAGTTTAATCAATCTAAATGCGCAAATTTAAATTCCCCCCCCCCCCTTTGGTTTTCCCAGCAGGGTTTCTCTGTGTACCACTGGCTCTCCTGTAGACCAGACTGGCCTTGAACTCAGCGATCGGCCTACCACTGCCTCCCAAGTGCTGGGATTAAAGACCTGTACCACCACTTTAATTTCAATCCCAATAAAAAAAAAAAGATTTTATCAGAACCAGGCACCCTGAAATCTCTGCACACTGGATGAAGCAAGACAAGATGGTAGGAAAACAAGGTCATTCTTTGCTACATGGGGAACTCAAGACCAGTCTTGGCTACAAGAGTCACTGCCCAAAAATAGAGGGGTTGGGTTGTAGAGGTTGCTTGGGAAAGCCATTCATTCCAGATAAGAATGACTGAGTAAGGCTGAGTGCAAGAGCTTTGTATTTTGCATTCAAACTCTAAAACCCTCATGTCCCCCCAAGCAAAAACCTCTACCTATTATTAGCTTAAGTCTTAAGGCATTTATTTTTTGGTTTTTCTCTTAATGTAGAAACTTAAGCACAAAGAACGCTTCCTAGTTTCCTCCTTACATCTCTGCCTCACCTCTGCACTGTCCCTCTCCAGTCTACGGATCGGAATCAGCAAGGCCATGAAGAAAAGCTGAACTAGGTGCGCAAGGAAGTCACAAGGCACAGAAGTCCTGCCCGCAATGTGTGATAACGCACAACTCCACCAGCCTCAGCGGCTTCCTCCGTGCCTCGGATGGAAAGACAGCCCCCCCCCCCCCCCCCCCCCCCCCCCCCCGTCCCGTGAAAAACCCCCCCCCCCCCCCCCAGCCCCACTCACACTATGTCCGTTACATAACTACGACCAACTGAAAAGCAACTCCCATTTCACAGGCAGGGTCCGGGGGTTGCTGGGGACCTGCCAAGGTCACACTTCCCATCTGTGGCAGCTGTTTTGCGGGGACACACAGCTCTTTCCAGTACTCGGCCCGCCTCGCGCCCCTCGGGCGGCGCTAGGAGACACTCCCCTCGCTCGGCCACCGGCACCGATCCACAGGTGTCCCGGCGGCGTCGCGAACCCTGCCCGCGGACGCCGAGAGGCCCAGGCCACAGCGCGGTCCCCGGGCCCGCCGACCCTTCGCCCATTGTTCCCGCCCGACTCACCTCAGAGGACGCGGTCGCAGGCCCGGCGGGGCCGCTGGAGGCCAGCTCCCGCCGGCCCGGGAAGCTCGGCCGGTGGCGGCAGGATCCGCGGAGGCGGACGCGGCGGCTCCTGTGCCTTCCCTCCTCCGCAGGCGCCAGAGGGGGCGCTTCAACCTCCTCGCGAGAAAGCGGAGACCCCGGCGGCTGCGGCTGCGACCCCTGTGACGTACAACGCTCATCACGGAAGGCAGTTTGGGGGCGGGGAGAAGTAGAGACCCGACCCCTCCCGACCCGCCGCATGCGCAGAAGGCAGCCCGTCGCTGGGGGCGGGGCCTAGCGCGCAGAAGGCCGACCCTGCCCTGCCCCCACCGCGAGGGTAGCGCACTTTTTGAAGGCGGAGGGCAAACTCAATAACCCGCAGCCCGATATGCAGAAAAACGTCTCCGTATCGCTGGAACCTAAAAGCCTTCGACAAGCTGCTAGAATTCTGTCTAGTATCACAAGAATTGGAGCGAGCCCCCGGTGTACCCCGTGCCTAGGATGGACACCAGGCGTCCAAGTCTTCTCCAGCTAAGGTGTTCGCCTGCTCCATTCCCCCCTTCCACTCCTGCAAACTGACACTAACGCTTGACGCCAGCCTGTGTCAGCCAGGCCTCCACTGTGGGCACCAGGATCAACTGCTGGCTGGCCTGCCAAACGGCCCCTCTTGAGACTTGGTTGTTCTACACTCGTTGCGGTCCTAAGCACTCGGTAAACGTCTCGTCAACACTTGTTGACTGACATATCCACCATGCGTATTCCGTGTGGCACGTATCTGAAATTATACCCAGCAAGAAGCATTAATCTTTCTTTTTGGTAATTGCTCAGCAGTTTCCAAGGATTCTTCAGTTCCGTAAAGGAGTGGGTGATATTGTTTTAATGCCAAACATAAAGACATGAACGCCTACCCGCATTTTGTGGAAACATGTGGGTGTGGGGCAGCAACTTTAATTCTTCCAGCGTGGGCTATTTTCAAATTAACTTTTACAAGCACACGACAGCACACTATTTTGCATCAAAACCGCACTACATCTGGACCAGAAGGGGAAAAGGCAGTTGTAGAATGTCTATTTAAGCTCAAAAAGAAAGAAAAAAAAAAAAAAAAAAAAGGCGCGATCTTAGTATTTTATTTTCTCCGTTGCCTGAAAGGCGGGCTAGGCCCAGGTCACGTGACGCGCGCTAACTCCGAGCGGAAGCCCGCAGGAGTCCGCGGAAAAATGGCTGCTGCAGCGGGGTGGACGGCGACCGGGAGCGGGCTATAAGGCCCGCGCCACCCCGTCCCCGCTGCCCCCTTACCATGAGGCCAGTGAGTCGACGAGCCCTGGACTGGATCTACAACTTGGTAGGTACCGGGGGCAGTAGGGCTCCAGAGTTCGCCATCGCAGGGTCTGTAAGCCGAAGGCAGACTGTCCTCTCGCCACTCGGCACTCCAAAACCCATTTCTAAATTGAGCGTTCACGCCCTGCCCCCAGCTCCGCCCCTTCCTGGAGGACACGCTCTTCCGCCTCTGACGTCAGGGGTTGCAGGGCCTGCTTGCCTCTGAGTTACCTTTGAGTGTCTTGAGCTACTCAGCTCCCACCTGTAGCTGGTAACCTGCCTGAGCAGGGAGAGTACTCAGCACAGATTATCCTTCTTGCCTTTCGTCCCTCTTTTAGCTGTTACTGGCAATCGTCCTGCTTTCCTGGGGATTCATCATCTACGCATCAACTGTAGTTGCACGAGAACAGCTGCAGAAGGAGTTTCCAGACAAATTCTTCGGAATAAATGAACTTTCATAATCTCAACCAATAGATCTTTTACTTAAATGGCACTTATATAGACTTAAAAGTAAAAAAAAAAAAAAAAAATCACAATACAAAATTGTGCATGGTCTTTTGTGATACTTGTTAACATGCTAATTTTTCAAATAGATGGGACAGCCTTTTTTGTATCATCGTAGTACTCCACAGACTTCATATTCTCCTGTCAAATCAGTGTGTAAATAAATATAGCATGTGACTAAATCATGTTTTGCATCCTGTTTATCAAACTGGATAAAAATAGCTAATAGTTTTGTTTATTATTTGTCTTTTTACTGTTAAGTCTCAAATCAGACAACCTTTGGAAAGTAATAAGCTTTATTAGTTACTTTTGCAGGACATAGACCAGTAAGCATAGCACTTTAGGAACAAACCTGTGCTGTTACACAAGTCTTTTAAGTTTTTAAGTGCTCTTCAATGATGTTGATCAGGAAAATCTCTCATTGGTGGAATTACTTCTCCAGTCTCCAGAATTGTATCGCCCTAGGAAAAAGTAGATTAATCCAATTATTCACGAGGACTTAAAAATGAAAGAGGTATAAACATAATAAAGTGCATATTTAAAATTTATGGATACACCTGTGAGACTATTGCCACAAGCAAGATAATAACGTACTTACCATTACAAGATTTAGTATTTTACTCATTCCATCTTAGTCTTTCAACCTCAGAAAAATATGAAGTCTGCATAGATGGTCACTGTAAGCTAGTACATGTTCAGAGATTGGTGTTCATTTTATTATGGACTGAGAAATTAGACTGGGGAGGACAGCCTGACTCATACTGGTCTATCATACTAGAAGGAAAGTTGCTCTTTTAAGCCAGAGACTCGGCCCGTTCTATTCTAAAACACTTGGCCATTCCGCAGATTCTTAAAAAAGAGAGATTCTGGAAGTGGTCAAAACCAGAAAAACAGGAAAGGACCAATAGGAAAATAAAGAATGTTACAAAACCACTGAAGAGACTGGTCTTCTGAAGAGACTGTCTTGTTCTCTGAACATGAATGATAAAATAAACACATAATTAGATAACTAACCAGACAGGCAAAGAATAAATATTAATTAGCCAACTAACAAAACCAGGAAGTGAATGTCCTACTTTGAGACTATACACATCAATTCCATGTAAGTAAATAACAGAAGTTTCTGCTATTTCCTAAAGCGTAGTTCCAATTTTGATGGTTCTCCCTAAAAATCCCTTGTTGCAGCTGGTAACAGATTACTGTAACGTATGCTACTTAATTGAAGTCTGAATTTATAGTTACAGTGGTTCATTCATTATTTGTAAGCAGAGACATGTTTTAGTATACTAAACAAATCTCACAACCAATAAAAATACCAATTTATACCATATTTTATTTTTGATGTCATATATTTATACATTGCATTTTAACATATTGATATGTGTAAATATAAATGTTTAAACATTATCTTTATATATTATATAATTTATCATGTATGATACAAATCGGTATTTTTATTGGTTGTTAAAACCAATATAATATATGTTATTGTTTTTGAGACAGGGACTCACTCTATATCTCTGAGTGTCAGGAAATTCACTATATAGACCAAGCTGGTCTCCCAACTCAGAGATCCTCCTGCCTCAGCAAAAGAGTCCTGGGTATGCCAACACACCCAGCTTAAGTTAAATTTGAATTAACAAAAGGTAAAAATATGCTAGCGGTCATTTACTGTGTTCAACATCCTGAATGCTGAGATTAAAGTAATTACTTTTAGAGCTCACATCTTTGTAACATAAATTTACACTAATGTATCTTAACTTCAGACTGAAAACTATAGGGACAAAGCCAAAGAAGTTAGAATCTGGAAAGAGCAGAAATTCAGTTGTTAGCTGCATGTACAGATATCTCTTCAGGCTCATGCTGTAGTCCTTTACCCCTGAAACACTGGTGGAGCTTTCAACTCTAGGGCAGTCAAGGTCATAAAAGAAGGTTGGGAAACAGTGCCTACTCCTCATTTTCAATTTCAGTTGCTACTTCATGCTACCTCTCCTTTTTCCCCATAGAATACTACACAAGCGCACGAAAGCTGACAGTAAGAAAGGATCATTTTATTCTAATGAGTTTGGCAATCACTTGTAGAATAGAGGCAGGGTTAACATACAAGGGAAAAACTGGAGTTTTGAGACTTACTGGGAATATTCTGGGCTTCGTTTCAACAATGGCATATGGTTTTGTCTGCAATAAAAATAACTCAGTGTAAGTTACAGTGCTGGAATTTCTTCTAAAATACGGTAGATCTTATCCCAAGTTTATACTTAAGCCCCCAGTTTCCCCAGAACACTGGGCCATATTAATTAATCATGTCTATTCTGTTATCAATAAGCCTCTGCACATATCCCAACAACACAAGCAGCATGATCCTTCCAACATGGAGCACATTTCTGCTCAGTTTCATAATCCTTAAAGAAAAAGATGGAGTCCTTGCTCTGATCTCTAAAACCCTCCATGATCTCACCCCTAGCTAACTATCGGACTTTCTACCATTCTCTCCCTCACTATACTTTAGTCGCAATGGCTCCCTAGCTATTAGTCCAATCAATAAAGCTGCTATGTCCTTGGGCTTTTGTGCTTATTGATTTCTCTTCCTGAAATGCACTCCTGGATGCCTGCTTGTTCCTTCACCTTATTCCAGTTAGGTCCCTTCTGCAGAACGGGTCAATTAAAACAGGAGTTACCATGTCTTTCTCTATTCCTTTACCCTGCTCACTTTCTCTTTTAAAAAACTGATCACATCCTATGACCACAGATGCCTCTTATTCCTGTGTTATTGCTCGTCTGCAAGACTAGAATCAGCTTTTATGTCGCAGGGACACAATCTGCTGTGTATACTGCGGTACCCCTGTTTACAGTGCTTTGCATATAGGAGGTGCTTAAATGTAGACTAAAGCATATATGTCTACACAAGATACCACACCAAAATATTTAAAAGATTTTTGGCATGATGTAAGACATAAATCATATAAGGCAAGGGGACCAAGATTAGAAGAGAAACTTAAGACTATAATACAAGGAAAACAAAATATCTTTATTATATGAACTGTGACCAGGGCCAGCGAGGTGATTCTGGATAAAGCTACACATGCCTGGCAACCTGAGTTCCATCTCCAGAACCTACATGAAGATAAAAGGAGAAAACTCCACAAAATTGTCCTTTGACCTCCCACAAGCATAGTAAATGGGGGACATTTGTGTTCCCCCATATATAATAATAATAATAATAATAATAATAAAATATTTAATTTTATTCTAAAAATAACTGTGGCAAAGTCAAGATACTAAAATGTCTCCCAAGAGATATAGAATTCAGTTTCTGAAGCAAATGTTATTGCAACAAACATGCACTTACCTATACAAACTAAGAGAAAGAAGAAAGGACAAATGGCCCAGACCCCACCAAATATGAAATGTTGAATGTTGGGAGTTGGTCTGATACTTGTATATGGATGCTAGTTACTGGCCCTCAAGATCTGATTACTGCCTGGATCCTTGTTGTGTACACCTGCCTAAGGCATTACACCTGACTGGTGGATTAAATGGCCTACACTAGGCAGGAAGAATGGGGTAGGCATGGCTAAGGTTCCTAGGCTTTGAGTTCCAGAGAATCACAGGAAACAGACAGAAAGAGAGGAGGAAGGAGGACACCACAATAGGTTAGTGTGGAGAAGTCAGGTGAGCCTGGAGGAAGGACTCCAATAATGGCCTAAAAAGGCCCAGATGAAAAATAAAAGCAAATATTTATAAGATCAGGGATTGGAGATAGCCCAGATGAGGATGGTTAAGGAGAATAGCATTGGATGGGAGCTGGGAGGTGGATGGTGAGGTTTTTGAGACAGTGGCCCAAAGTAAATAAGCAATTATAAAATCTAACTGGTGTCTGTGTCTTATTAATTATGAAAGTGGGTTAGATAATACCACAATGATTATAGGGCAATAAATAATATTTAGTACAACAGCCCATTTTTATATGCAACAACAGATGAACTATGTCCACCAGTGGCTAAGAAAGCATGAGTCTCTCAGAGAAGGAACCATATTAACGACTCTTTCTGTCAGCTCAATACTGCAGTTTATGACGACAAATGTATTTTCAATCCCAAGACAACTTGGTCACAGGGATGAAAAAGGAAACTACACTCAGTATAATTTAATAAATGCCAACTTTTAAAGTTGGGACAGGACTGGAGAGATGGTTTACATTTTAAGAGGGCATACTGCTCTTCAGAGAACCAGAGGCCAGTTCTCAGCACCTGCAATGTGTGCCTCACAGCTGACTACAGTTCTAGATCTAAGGAGAGCTGAATCCTCTGGCTTCCATGGGCATCTGCATTCATGTGTACATACCACAAAGAAATACATGGACAAAAATGGAAAATAAATCTTTAAAAATCTAAGTAAGAGTGAGTAGGAAAATGAAGTGGGATCTGGAAAGTCAGGGGAGGGGTGAATATAAACAAAACACATTGTAGTTGTATGAAACTCTCAAAGAATAAAAAAATAGCTAACTAAAAAAGTAATGTTTGAGACAATTCATATTCTTTTGTCAGAGTATTTGTAATACATAAAATAATTTGGGTCCAACAGATTAGGCTCAGGATTGTAATGAAATTAGATAATGGACACACTTTTGATTTAAAGTTGAAAAAAATTGCTTCTTAGGGGCACCAATTTGCCATATAAATATCTAAAATTAAGACTGAACAAATAAAATTTATAAACTCTCTTAAAAGAATGTGATTACATTTGTAAGTGGAATTGTCTTAAAGAGTTCAAATTCAATTAGTTTAAAGACACTAGGGACAGAATAAACTTGTTCCTGTTTTATCAGAGGAAATACAGTTTAATTCCCAGGCAACACTCTGACCAGTTCTGTACAATAGCCACTCTTGGAAATTTCAAACCTTCCCTGACAGAAGGCAGTGTTCTTTCCTAGGGATCAGCATGCTAAAACATGCTGGGATGAAATAGGTAAGATGGACATTGACATGAAAAGGCCCATGTAATTGCAAGTGACTATGGTTCTCAAGCTAATCAATACAAAAATATAAAGAACGCTCTGACCCTAAGACAAATAAACTGTTAGTCCATTTTATCATTGCAGAAGGGTTTTCTGCTGATTTCTGAAATGGAAACAACCCCATTCACATCCCTACTGGCACCTACTAACCTTACTTTACTAACACATCAGGCAGGCCAGGGCAATGTGAACCCTCCAGGAAATGTAACTCCCAATCAGTTTGCTTTTTTCCTGTTTTCTAATGTGTACCAAACTGCAGCAGCCTCCAGCTGATCTGCCTGGTGTAGAACTTTGCTTCCTTCAATCTGTTTCTCTACATTTCCCTCACAATCTTCATGCCTTATCCCATTTAACAGTGGGGAATTCAGGTGGGTGTAGAAGCTAATAGATGTAATCAGATGAAAGCAAGGCTACCTGCTTGGAGTGTATGAAACAGTCTCAATATACACACAGTAAAGGGTACCCACTGCTTGTTACACATATAACTCACCTCTTCTCCCTAGATTTCAAAACTTTCCTTAAATTTGTCTAAGCTTATTGTGTCAAGAGAGACCCTTTAGCCATCTTCTCAGTCAGGGACATATGGACATGCTCATCACTGACTTTCTGTCTTTCCTTCCAATTGGCATTATTTGCTCCCTCCAAAATCTTCCTCGAATTTTGCTATCCATCTTCTAATATAATACATATTCTGGATGTCAAATATTTACTTTTATATATTCTTTCTAGAACAATAAAGAAGACATACTAATAACAGTTTGTTCTTGTTGCTCAAAGAACAAATTGTTGGCCAGGAAGATGGGTCACAGGGCACACACACTTGCTGCTAAGCCTAACAACTTGAGTTCAATCCCTGGAGAGCACATGGCAGAAGTAGAGAACCCAAGTCCTTCAAGCTGCCTTCTGACATTCATTAACTGTTGCAGGTTATTTGATCCCATTGTGAACCCTAAAATTGTGAATTGTAAAACCCTGTTCCTTTGGTTTGGTTGAGCCCTATTACACACCTTTAATCCAAAACCTTTTTGTTTATTGTAAACAGCTGACCATGGTGTAGCCCAGGCCTGGCAACACCTTTAATCAAAGAGCTTGCTATACCCAGAATTTAATAGTTAACCCTAGGTCAAGAGGCAGGGCAAGAAACTAGCTAACAGGGATTAAAGAGTATGAGGGACTTTGAGTTGAGGGGTATTTAAGCTAGTGTGTGGAAGCAGAAGGAGCTTTAGCTCTCCCTTTGGCTTTGGCCTTTTCCCCTGGGCTCTCTGCTGAGCTAGTGAGCCTTCTGGGTTTTTTCTATCTAGACCTAAGCTTAAAAGGAAGGTCAGCTGGGTGCTTTCTCTGCCTCTCTGAAATAGCAGGTTTTCACCTCAGCATCTGGCTCCTGAGTTGGTAAAATAGAACAATTGAGATTTTCATTCTTTTATAACAACAGTTCACCTTCATGACCATGATACTTTTGAAGGTAACAAACTGATAAATCTTGCTCCACTGGAACATTCTCTCCAGTTGGGCTTGTTTCATGATTCCTGGTGACTCTGCATTCAGATTTTTGCGATGGGCAGGAATATCAGAAAGCCGAGGCTGCTTTCTTCTTGCTGTGTCTATCATCAGCATATGGTTTCAGTCTGCCTCATGGCTGAGCACACTGAGATGCTGCCTGCTGGAGTGTAACTTAGGGACAGTACTGTTCCCAGGCCTTCTTAATGGACAGACTTAGTGACCATGCATGCAAGCCATGTCTATGTCACATCCATGGCTATTTCTCAATCTATTTATGAATACACAGTCATAGCTGTGAGTTCACATCAATGCTTCCAGTTCCAATTCCATTCTCCAAGGTGTTCTCCTTTCCATCAGCATACTTATTTGATCAAATGTCTTATCACCAACACCACACCTGCAATATTTAACCTCCTCACCCCTGGGTTGTGATGTTTTACCCCATCTCATGTCCTTACTCTCCCTTCTCACATTCCAATAGTCTATACCAGGTTGCTGCCACTAAGGCTCCCCAAGTAGGCATGTTCAGTCTACTCTAACAACCCTCTCCAGACAGAGAATGCTTCCTTACACTATCTGAGTTTGCACAATCCACACAGGGCAGTCACCACTATTCCCTCTTCTGTGACATCCCAGGTACTCCATCATGCCCTTCTCCTACTGCCTAGGGTCCAGTTGCAGGTACCAACCATACTGTTGCTAGCCCTGGTCTTTAAACCATGGCAAGTGACTCTGGTCAACCCACGCAGATCTTTCCACAAAGTTTCCTATTTTGGGACACTCTAGATTCTAAATTTTAAAAATTATAAAAAAGCAAAAAGCAAAGGAAAGGAAAATGAGACAATGACAAAACCTGTTCTGAATGATATCACATTCCTGACTGACCTACACTAGAAGTCATCTTTCTACCTCCTGCTCAAGACTCTAGGTTTAGACATTCTGATCATTTAAACACTACTTCAAGGAAATGCCCCCCCCCTTTTTTGGGAAATGCCTTTCAAGTTATAAACTAGTTGTATATAAATATAAGAGTAAACCTTTTACCCAAAAGAATTCAAAGAACTTTAAAATCAGCTTAAGATATTATTTCTGGAATACAGGATAGCCACAGGAAATTATTGGATAATATTAAAATAAATTCTGAAAAACATACATTTTAAACATACTTACAGCCATATGATACTTTACATAATAGTGAATAAACCAAAGAGGTATAAGTACATGGGAAACGGTGAAGAGACTGGACCGGTATGCCTTAAAGATCTGTGGGGAAACAAACACAAAATATACAAATAGCCTCTTTTTTACCTTTTTTATTTTTTAGATTTATTTTTTATGTGAATTAAGTGTTTTGTCTGCATATATGTATGTGTACCAGAATGTGCCTGGTGAGCTCAGAGGTCAGACAGAAGACAACATTGGATCCCTTCGAACTAGAGTTACAGAGAGTTCTGAGCCACTGGGTGGGTGCTGGGAATCAAAATTGGGTCCCCTGAAAGAGCCAAGTGGTCTTAAGCACTGACTGAGTCGTCTCTCCAGCCTCACCTCATCTCTCATTTTTACGTTTTATGAATTTATTTTGAGACAGGATCCTACTCTTTAGCCAAGGCTGACCTGACTCACTATGCAGCCCAGCCTGACCTTGAACATCTAGCAATCCTCCTGACTCAACCTCTGGAGTTCTATGACTACCAACATGTACTACATACTCTACCTAGCATAAAATATCTTATTTTTCACTCTTCGTGAAACAAAAAACAATCCTCGCCCCCAAATCCTACCACCAACAAAGCAATAGTGTGATAATTACTTTACAAACTTCTAAATGGAAAGTATTTCCTGACCTAATCCAACTCTTGGACTTCCTACAGAACATCCATAGACAACATCCAGAGCAAACAAGCCTTAGGATAAGTAGTATTCTGCAAGATTGATAGACAAGGCTTAGAATAAGTAGCATTCGAAACAAACACACAAGACATTGTACTAAAATGGGGACGTTCTAAATTCACTGAGCTCTCTTCTGACACATTATTAAAAGGGAAAGTCAAAAGACACTATTAATGGGACAATTTGACTAAAACACCCTTTCAGGAGAAAGAGAACTGAGAATCTATGTATTATAGCAGATGATTAAAAAAAAAGAAAAATATAACTCAAGGTAAGACAAAATTCAACAAATGATTACTTCTTTAAGTCACCAAGTTATCAAGTTTCCACCAGTGACTGCCAAAATCAACAGTTAATATCAGAAACAAAAGAAGGGAGAGTCAGCTTGCGTTAGAGTTGAATTTTACCACCTTAAGTATATAATATCATTTTACATTAATTTCTGTTTCACTACTCTTTGTAGCACAGTAAGACAGTACTGTGGATTTCAACATGAGTTTCTTCATGTGACTAGAAGCAAATCATTCATTTTTTTAATAAGCCTCTCTAGCCTCACATTTAAAATAAAACTTGGGAACTTTTTCTGCCATTTAGGAATAAAAAGAAAAAAAAAGTGAAGTTATGTATGCAAGATCCTTAGCAGAATACTAAGTTCGAAGAAAGCAAGCGCCCAATATTACATTATTATTATTGTTATTATTATTATTATTGTAAGTAACTGAAAGCAATTCCCACATAGTGTTCATTACTGATGTGACTTAATAACAGATTCCACGAAAATATCCGGAATCCTTAAAATAAAAAGCAGTCCTTGAATGAAGCCTGATGAAGCCACGGAATGCAATTTAAATGTAAATAAATGCGTGTTAGAAGTACGTAGTGATGAGCAGAAAGGGAGCTTTAGTCTGACAAAGCCCACCACATAGAACCCTGTCTTCTGTTGCGATCCCACAAGGCTGTACTGTAACGGCTGGTCCCTCAGGTAGTTAAGTGCAGCGTTAGCCGGTCCCTACCACCTCAACCGTACATATCGCATAAGTTCTAAAATGCCAAAATCACAGCCTGTGAACTCTAGTTAATTCTGACCAGCCTAACCTGAGGAAAGGTATCTACAGTCGACAGAACTACAAGTGCGGCATCCTGTAAAATCCAAGGTCGGAACTCTCAGTACACCTGACACCCACAGGGGATCATCCTCCAGAAGCCAACCCGCTCCTGAAATCCAGATTCCCGTCCAGGACTCTGCTAAACCTGAGGCCCTGGACTGACTGTCACTTGGGGCTGTCCCGAGTTCACCTCCGGGAGTGAGAGAAGCAGGTGGGGGTGGCCAGGCTGCGACCCGGCGTGGGAACCGGGACCTGTGTGGCTCATCTCTCACCATGTTCTTCCACGGGGACCGGTCCCGCAAGAAGTTATTCCAGAATCGCTCCAGGGGCCACATCCTGCGCGGGGGCAGCACGGGTTCCCGGGGGCTCAGCTCTTGGTCCTTCAGCCATCGCCTTCTCAGCTCCCGCAGCTGCTGCAGCCGCAGCTTCTCATCCGGCGTGTACCCCGACATTTCGCCCGCAAGCTCGCCCTAAAGACAGAACGCGCGCCCGAATCCGGGTCTGGTCACGCACGCGCGCTCCCGCTCCACAGAGCGACCTTGAAGCGCCTGGGGTCGGCGCGGTATGATGACATCACAGAACCCAGCCTCTGGGGAGGGCTTCATGGAAAGTGAGATCTGCGCATGCGCAAAACCCTCTCTTTGCCCTTGGGCTTTAAGAGCCATATTAAGTGCGGGTTCCGAAGGTGTCTTGGTTTACGAACGAAGGGAGAGGACGACAGAAAGTGTGATTAAGTCCAGGGGATGGAGTTCAAAAAAGGGCTTGTAGGGGAGGGACCCGGAAGGACAAGAACTTCAGTTTAGTGAGCCTCTGCCCCGCCCCCTTGAGTTCCTCCCTGTTGACCCAGAGACAGTTGCATCCAAGTTCAGCTCCCAGTCATTTAATAACCAGTCAAATGACCTTAGGCGGCTACCTCTATTTTTTCCCCTCCTCTATACTGCAGAAATAAAGAGCACCTTATTTGTGAGGATTACATAGGCTCGCTCACTCTTTGATCCAGTCGCCCTGCTTTGTATGATACCCCAAAGAGATGGTGAAAATTTTGCAGGGGTATGCACGAATATTCATCACAGGATTTGTAATAGCAGAACAGGTTCCTTAATAGAGGATTAATGGAAAAGCTTACAGTACTGCAAAGCATTGGACTGCTACTGTCCTTGTATAAATAAGTGTTTTATTCACAACTGTGAAGTGACTTCTACAATCTATTAAGGCAAAAAATAAAAACAGCTGCACTGAGTAGAAAGAAGTGTATATGGTATGCTACCTTTTATCCAAAAGCGGGGAGAGTAGTGGTGATAATTATATACATACATGCTTGATGAAAAATTTATAGTAATATAAATTAAAACTAATTTTGTTTGAATTTGGTTTTGGAGACAGGGTCTCTTGTAACATAGGCTGACTTTGAACTTACTGTTTAAGGGAGACTGGGCTTGAACTTCTAATTCTCCTCCACTACTACTCGAGGTGGGTGGGATACACCAGTATGCCAAACTAAAAACAATCGCTGTAAACAACAACACAACAACAAACCAGTATTATATAGGGAAGATAGGATGGAGACATTAAGTAGAAGCTAGGGGGTTGTAGAATGGGCTTAGTGATTAAGAACACATGCTGTGGGCTAGAGAGCTGGTTCAGAGGTTAAGAATATTCCCTGTTCTTTCAAGGGTCCTGAGTTCAATTCCCAGCAACCACATGGTGGCTTATAATCATCTATAGTAAGATCTGGTGTGCAGGCAGAGTGTTTTATAAATAATAAATAAATCTTTTTTTAAAAAAATGCTGCTCTTTCAGAAGACCTGAGTTAGAAGAATCTGGTTATACCGTGAGGTTTCTGGAGCTCCAAAAGAGAGAAATGTGATCCATAAGGCTCTCCCTAGCCTACCACAGCTGGGGAAGTTTCTAGTCAAGTAGGAAACTTGACTAGTAGGTTCTCCTGGTCAAAGACGAAAACATTTCAGCATCAGTAAGTATGAACTGAGTGATTTTAAAATATAAAATACATCACATACACCAAGTGAAAATACTTTATTAAAACCTCATTTGTGACCTCATTTGTGATGGTCTTAAAAACCAACTCATTTTGAAATCTGAGAAGAAAAAAATCAGGTATTTTTTCTAGCCTTTTTGTATAAATTACATCTTACAGTGACAAAGAGCTTGTGGGTAAGTTTTCTTCAACGAAGTATTTTAATACCGAACACAGGAAAAACTGGCAGTCGCAATGTCACCATTCTACAGCCCTCCATTAATGAATCAGGGCAGGGGTCATCCTTCTGTAGCGGACGCTGCTCATAGAGAACGCAGCTGCGCCCTCTTGTGGACAGCTGTCTTGTCCATAAAACTGAACTGAAATCTGTAAGGTACCAGAACAACTCATTTGAAAGAAAACAGAAGGGACAGAGGAAATCCTCATACAATACTAAAACGACACATTCAGATAAGCCCAAATTATGAAGATGTTACGTAGCTGGGTTTTTTCTGAAACAAAAATATAGTTAGGAGAAAAATAGAATGAGGGCCAATAAAGAGGCAGAGGGCAATTTTAACACCACTGTGATATTTTATGGTATTAAGGAGGTATTAGATTTTGGCAGATGATACTGAGGTTATATTTTAAATTATGCTTCAGAGGTACACCCATAAATGTATAGATGAGAGAGCATTGTTTCCAGAGCTTCTCAGTAAGAGGAGTAGGGTGAAGGAAATACAATTATTGAGTTAGCAATTGTTGTGTGATAAGTCATTTGGGCTCATTGTATTCCTTCCTTTTAAACTATTTAACACTTGAAACTCCAAGTTTTAAAAATCTGTGCCTTGAAATATGGAGCCATTATTTAAACTATTATTAATCTGTCTACTTTTCTTGTAAAACTTTTCTTACCTACAGACCTCAACTCTGTTATAATGAGAGTCTAGTAATAACAAGTCTCTGGGAGCCTAACCATGCTAGAAAGACCTACTGTGCACAGGTCCATCAGTAAGGCATCTGACAACCCACAAATGTCGCTTATATTAATGTAATTAAATACATCTAGTAATTTCTTGATTTGAGGGTCATCATCCCCAACTTTCTTTGGAAACCATTTCACTCTTACACTTAAAAATATAATCAATAATAATAAATGAGATCAGTGTTTTCAACAAAATACAAGTCTCCTACCACTGACTCCACCTACCATGTTCTGTTCCTTCCCATGACCTCTGGCTGTAAAAAGCAAAGCAGAGAGAGGCCATTAAGACAGACTCAAACTCAGAAGGGCTTCAGAAATGGGGTATCTGCCAGACATTCCCAGCAGATGGGACTCCCACTTGCTGGAAAGTTGGAAATATAGTTGAAAATGGGGGTTTTGTCTAAGACCTTAGAAGCCAGCCCACAACCTGGGAATGGGATAAAGCCTGGAAGGCAGAGAGAGAAATATGCTAGGCAATGAAGTGAAAAGGCATCTCTCAGTAAGCTTGCTTGACTTTGGATCTATTGAGAAAGAGCCTAAATTTCCAGCTGTGTTTTAAAGCCCAGAAGTGGACTTTAAAATTCCTTTAGCTCCTAAATTTTTTTCTATCTTATGTTTTAGTTTAAAAAATGTATCACCCATAGGCCAGCAAGATGGCCCAGCAGGTACAGTTCTTGCTATGCAAGGCTGGATTTAATCTCAAGAACTCACATGTGTTTGTTTCAATGAGAAATGTCCTTCCACAGTCGCAGGCATTTGATCACTTGTTGGCACTGTTTAGGGAAGTTTTGGTGGCGCAGCCTAGCTAGAAGAAGTATGTCACTGGGAGTGAGTTTTGAGATTAAAAGACATGTGCCACTTCTAGTCCGCGCTGTCTGCTTTATGCTGACAGTTCAAGCAATGAGCTCTCAGCTTCCTGTTCCTGTGCCATGTCTGCTACCTGCTGCCATGCTGTCCCCACCATGATGGACTCTAACCCTTTAGCATCATGAGCCAAAATAAAATTCCTTCTGCAAGTTACCTTGTTATAGTGTTTTAAACACAGCGATGGGAAAGTAAGTAATTCACCGAGCAAAGATGGGAGAGAACTGCTCCACAAAGTTATCCTCTGATTTCCACATGCACACACCATACACACACACTTGTTAAATGGCAAAGAGGGAACATCTCCCTGTTGGTCAGAGAGTCTCTGAAGATGTGAGAGCATCCTTCCAGATGTTCTTACCTTTTTGGAGATGTACAGAAACCAACATAATCAGAAACTTCCTGGTGGAGGCAGAAGGTATGTGCCAGCAATAGAGTGTTGAGCTACTCTTGTGGCTGAATGTTAGTTTCCTTCTAAGACTGCCTTTTGGCATGGCTTCAGACTTAATATCCTTTTGGGATTAGAAAAGCAGCTGCCTTATAGGGATTTTGTTTGTTTGTTTGTTTGATTTGTTGTTTGGCTTTCTGAGACAAAGTCTGTAACTGTAACTCTAACCCAGGCTGGACTGTAATTCATTATGTAGTCCATGCTGACCTCAAACTCACAGCAGTTCTTCTGCTTCTGCTTCCCAAATGCTAGAGTTACAGATCTGAGCCATCATTCCTGGCTCTTGTCTGATGTCTTCATTCTTTAGGAGTCCTAGGCAGTGCCTCTTTGCTCAAGGGTTTCTTTCTAGTTGGAAACTCCAGGGTTGAGAAATGCCAACTAGAGATCCTGGAAAGAGTGTCTGACTGAAACCACCACCAAAAAGGGACACCTCAAGTTCTGGTTTGTGTTTTCTTCCCTTCTTTTAATGTATATATTATCTGTACCACTCAGATAATCACCTCATAACCCAATGCTCAAATCTGCATGTGTGTTTACAAACACACAGATAGCTGGAGGCCACGTGGTACTGACTCATGTTTGAACAGTGTTTTGACTTTCTTTCAGAAGCAGAGAATAATCAGTGACTAGTCACTTGAGGTCATACTTCACAGCACATAAATTCCATTTTTATACACAGCCACTAAAAGCAGTTTATCTGCCAAATGAGGTAAGCCAAATGGAAAAGTTATACTCTTCATTATTAAATATTTATTAACATATCAGTTTTCAGGTTGATATTAAGTAGATTTTCTCAGCAAAATAATGAATGGGTTAAAATAAATGTCATTATTCATAAGGAAAAATCTTAATAGCTTTTGGTGACTCAACTGATATTCCAGCAGGTGAAAGGTCAGTGTAATGCAAGATTCCCCCAAAGACATTTTCCCATGACTCAGTCCAAAGCACAGTTTTTGTTGAATTAAAACATATCCATACCAGGGCTGAGGAGATGGCTTAGTGGGTAAAGGACTACAGTTATGCACACAAATATCTGTCTGCCATGGTGGCCATATGTAATCTCAGCTTTGGGAGGTAGAGGCAGGGGATCCCAGGAGCAAGATGGACAGACTAGCAGAACTGGTCTGCTCTGCGTTCAAGTGAGAGACCTTGCCTATTCAGATTCAGAACTCAATAAGATGGAGAGTTATCGTGGAAGACATATGAGATCAACCCTTGAACTCCATATTCATATACACACATGAGCACACAATCACTTGAACCTTCATGCGTGCATGCACACATACAAACACA